GTAATGCTTCCTGGGGAAAATTTCAATTATTTAAACATATTTGTGGCTTACACACCCAGATAACCATCCCCGTGGAAAGGAATTGAACGGGGCAGTTGGAGATGTATGTTTCTCTTTTACCAGGATTTAAATGCATTCGGATAAAAATGAAATAATCGAAAAGATATTAATGTTTCTCGTGTATTTCAATCAAACTGTAGATGACAATAGCGCAAAGCGAGCGAAATGATTACGAATCGAATACGAAATTGTGAATGAAGAATTAAGATTATCCGCAAAATTTGGCAGAGAAAAGGACGGTTGTAATACGTATCCTTTCGTTGTTTTTCGACACAAAGTTTACTTGTAATACTTTACATATGTTCTGGAACTCTCTTGGTTCTTTAATAGCTAGCGTTTAGTAATATGTTAGTTTCTCTCTGCATTTAAGCGAACACTTAAGGTTTATCTTCTCGATAAATACTGTGACTCATTGAGTAGTTCATTTTTGTATATAGTTATTATGGTGCCTAGATCTATTATGTATTACTAAAGACAACAAATTACTTCTTCTTGATAGTATGTGTCTAACTGAATAATTTCAGATTGCCAGCCTTTTATTCCCTCCCCTATGGTCTTATGCCCGATTGGTCAAAAGTAAATCACGTGATGAAAGATAGTTCGCCCATTATTGATGGGGGAGCAAAAAGTTCGTTACACTGTGTAGATAGTACTACTATCTACACAGTGCAACGCACTTTCACTGAAGATAGAGGTACTATCTACAAAGGGCAACGCACTTTCACTGAAGATTATCCAAAAGCGCACTAAAGCAGGCGTAATTAAGCGCGCATTACCAATGAGCGCAATTAAAACAAACACATGCGCGCACCGAACCCTCAAGGAGCCTCGGAAGTGATAGTTTGTCCCATCATCTTCACCAACGGTAGTTATTTGCTTAATATCTACTCCCATCATGTTCAACATAATTTCAGGACAACGTGTTATCTCAATTTGTTTCGCGCAATGTTCTGACGATGAGGATATAATCACTTCCAAACCACCCTCTTAAGCTTAAAATAGATTTAATTATCATAGGTGTAATATTGTATAGATTATTCAAGATAACATAATGTATATCTACATCACCATGCAAGCCGACACTTACAAGCAGCATCTAACAAGATAACATGTTTTGAAAACATTGAATTGGGTGAATAAACGTTAATCCTTGGGTGTGTAAGATTTCTATCTCTAAGGTAATAGATGTAATGGGGAAACAGTGTATCTAATCGGCAACAATTTGCATGAATAGACGTAGCGGTTTATGCAACCGTTCTAATTCTGCTTCCTTCTATTCTCTGTGTGTATCTTTTTATCCCTCCCCATCTCTCTCTCTTTCGAGTGTTGTTTCTTTCACCCGTCCTCTCAACATGTTCATTGTTTCATTTCTTTCGTAATGATTGCTGAATCAAACATTTTTTTTGTATTGTCCTTTCCTAATTTGTTCTATTCATGTTATGAAATTATTTTCTTTGTCGTTGTCGTCTTCTATCTTCCTCATCTCCACTCTCTTCTTATTCTATTCATTCTTTTTGATTATCATCCTTTTTCATTTCTCATTTTTTCGAACTTTCTTTTCTTTCTTCTTCTCCTTCTTCTTCTTCTTCTTCTTCTTCTTCTTCTTCTTCTTCTTCTTCTATTCTTTCACGTTGATCATCGTCACCATCATCTTGTTTTTCTTTTTCTCCTTCTTCGTCATCGATTCGTCGTCTTCCTCCTTCTCCTTCTTTTTAAAGATTCTCCCCCTGGAATGGACTAACTCTTCATCACAATTACTGCATTGTCCAACAACCGAACCCCACCTGCCACCCAATGCACCGTACCCCAGCCACGCCCATGTACCCCTATCAGCCACGGCTGCCACTATTACCCCTCCTCGAACCCTCTGCGACATCTTACCATCAACTCATACATATCATACGCGCAGATCTTCGAAACAGCTTCCCATGATAATTCCTAGGCTATTTTGAGCTTCTCTCATCATTTATTCTATTTTCTCCCTCCTCTCTCTCTCATCTAAGACGCGCTTCAGCTCCCATCAATACGATATTATGGTAGCGGAAATAAAGGAATTGATTCCCGTCAGTTACCAATGGAGCGGTCACCCCTCATCTATTTATATCTCACCTGGTGCGCTTTGGGTGATCAACATCAACGCCTTTGCTCGTGTGACAGGTGTTAAGATTGCCCTATTCAAAAAGGCGCCAAAAGGAAAAAGTTGTGCTGCATTTTCTACGTCATTAGATCAAAGAGATGAATAGGAATTTTATTGGCAGGTAGATGTTTCTTTGGGAAGTGATAAAGATGTCTTAGTTGACCCGAACCTACTTTCGCTTCGCTTTACTAATTCTGTCTCTCTCATGTCGAATTCTAACCATGGGGATTCCTAACCATCTTTATTGTTGCTATTATATTTTTTCACTCAACATATATGATTGGTTATTCATTAACTACTTTCAAACGAATTTGTCCATATCATTTTTTTTTCTTTCTTCCATTAACAACCTTTTTTGTTGTTGATTAATGTAATAAAAAGAATCCCATTGGTTAGAATTGGAAATGTTTATTCATGTTAACAGGACATCGATAAAAACAGCTTTGCTGATTCGATTGCTTCTTTTTTATCCTGTACAAATATGTCAAATAAATAAAATATAAATAAATATTATTTACGCAGTCAAATATAATGTGCGGGTGTGAAGTGATCAATCAATTTTGTTCGATTGATGTATCCGTCATTTTGGTTATTTATGAGTCATTTTGTTCAGTAATCTATTTATACATTAATATGTCCCGTTATTCCATTCATCCAATTCTGTATTTCTTGAATAACTCGTGTAACTGATTTCCGGACATGTAATGTATAGGCCTACTTGTGAAAGCGGATTCTAATGTTACGATCCGTAAAAACAAAGATGAAAACCGGAAACAAAGAGAAGCAAACTAACAAACAACAAAAAAAAAACATCCCCCATAAAAAGTTTTTTTTATAAAAAAGATAAACGATACCGCAATAAAAATATATATATATATATATAAACAATGGCCTATATATATATATATATATATATCAATGGTGTACACGAAAGATGATGCAAACATAATAGTTAAACAATCTCTTTCACATCAATTCTATTCATGTCAAATCTATCAAAGACAAAAATGAAAAATGAAAACAAACAAAATAAACAAACAAAACAACAAAGACCGGTGACCCGGGTTCGAAACCAAGTCGATGCGCTAGTGCCCTTTGGTAAGGCATTACTCCTCATAACCAGGTCCCTCGGAGAGGACCTAAAGCCGTCGGCCGTCTGGTTGCTTACTTACAAGCATTTATGTTTTCTTAGCAGTCAGGTAAAAAAAAATAACAACCAACCAACAGAAGATAAATGACCCCAAATGAATTAAATAAACACATAATTTGAACAAAGCGAAATATATATTACAATGGTGTAATCGAATGATTATGCTAGCAGACTAGAAGAACAATCTCTTTCTCATCAATTCCACTCGAATCCTTGACGTAATAACCAGACCCTTATGACGTCACATGTTGGCGGATGTAGACGGGTCCAAGGATTGAGGAAGTTACGTAGAGCTCCGTCACAATGGAAGTTTTGGCCACATACACCGCTAAGAATAAATGGAACAAAACGAAATAAATCACGCTTAATCGCTGTGGGGTGAATATGTAACACTCACATGACTATAAAATGCGTTCCTTTGTTTTTCCCAACCAGCTGATCCAATAATCTACCCCATTGATAATTACTACCAAGTTACCAACCCCACACAAATCTATACAGACCGCTAAATAGGTCATATGAGGTGGTGTCATTATGGTTTATTCGATTATGTGTCGGTCTGTTATTACTCTTTGTTGGTTTGAGGGGGATTACAAATATCAATTAATGACTGCGTGATATTACTACAAATATGACTCCTACACACATTGACCACGTGACCCTACACTCTACCCTTTTTTCTATCCTTGTTATACTACTACTGTACCTTAACTATACTGCTACCACTACGTCTATTTGACTGTAACTTGCTACTATAATACCGTCACCCCGGCTACAGTGCTATTCGTTGCTACTATACTACTACTACTACTACTACTACTACTACTACTACAACTACTACAACTACTACAACTACTACAATTACTACCACCACCACCACTGCTACTACGTCCACTACTGAGCATATTACAATTCGTTTTCGACTTCGAGTTAACTCCAATATCTAGAGATCGTTTGTATTTTCACTGTAAGTAATGTTTATCAGGATGATTTTTACCACGCAAAATATTGCACTAGCAATTCTATGTTTCTAGTCCTCCTACCAATACCAAACAAGTTTTAAGCACTTAAATATCTTTTGCAACTACAACTATATTCAAATATGAGATGGATCGTCCCTGTGCCTGCATGTCTATCTGTGAGTACATTTCAGTAAATTGTGTGTAGCTCTAATCCCTGTTATCTGCATGCCGATGACGTGTAAGTGAACTTTTAAATACGTTGTTTATTATCATCTATTTATTTTTTCCCATTTTTTAATGTATTTTCTATTTAAATTGAACATTCCATTCACCTATTCACCTAAATTATCAATGATAATTCTTGAATGATCAGTTATTTCACGAGGATACCAATTAATTTGTATTTTACCTGTTTATGTGCATGTTTTTGTACATGTATCTATTTTATATTTTGCTGCTGTTATTTGTTTAATTCTTACCAAACAGGTACTCAAGGAAGACCACCAAATTTGTGTGCCACCCTGTATAAATATGAGAAATAAATGAATAAATAAAGCTATCCTAAGTTGGGATTCATTTCAATGGTTCCAGTTTCTTTTAATCCATTCACCAATTTCTCTTTCTCTCTCCTCCCCCCCCCCCCCCCCCCCATTTTCCTCTCTCTCTCTCTCTCTCTCTCTCTCCCACACAGATGGTAGAATGGGGCAAGGTGTCGATACGGTCGTCTTCCAACAACAAGTTGCTCGGGGTTGCTGTGGCGGTGTTGCTGCTGTGTGTCTGTGTGGCAGCGGGACAGAGCTGGCATTGTGGTAGGGCAGCGCAGACCATCATGGGCATGTGTAACAGCTGCTACGCCTCACACGACAAAAGAAGTATTTCGAAACCCTCTTATACACCAGCAAGTAAGTCTATTTCATTATCATGATTACATTTCGATAATTTATAAAAATGATAATAACACTATCAAAGCACGTCTGCACTGGTTTGGCCAGCAGCGATTAGACATCCCTGCATGGTCACTGACAGGTGGTTATCTCATCAAATCACCTCTCAATTAACATAAGAAAAAGGGGATCATGGGGGACCAACGGTCACCGCTTAAGCATTGTTTGTTATATAGAGCGTGTAAGTTGCGATAAGTAGTGCATTGGGGCTTTAATAATAATAATGATAATGTAGGTTTACAAAGCGTTTGATATATCAACGATGTCTCTAAGAACTGTACAGATGGTATATTGTACATTACCCAGGTCATTGGATTTAGGCTGACCCTTAAACATGCACATTCTCCTCTCCCTGTGGAGCATTCTATATTCATAGCATCATCATCTTATGGGGTTGATCTAACTCGGTATCTCAGGGAAGCTTGGCTTTGCTCGGCGATATATTTTCAAGAGTTGAAATGTAACCACGAACTCGACCTCTTTAAAAATAGCCATATAGTTAACGTTTTTAGAATTGCACCCCTTGAAGTTTTCAACATTCATGAAAGACCAAGTATAGTACTGAATTAGCTACCCTGTCATTATTTTATCACGCACAATAACATATAAATGAATGAATAAATAAATACATTTCTCTGTGCTTTGACGGACATTTGGCATTGTCCTGTCAAACAAAAATGAAATCGATTCGACTTTCTGAAATTTTCTTCAAAATCATTATTCAGGGCAGAAAATGATAAACGATGGCCCCCTTTCAAAATGCTTGCGGTCAATTTAATTTTCTCGGCTCACGATCAATGATTGGTCTCTCGATGGATCATAAGCAGTTGCCGCTATTCTCTCTTGCTCCTCTCTTCTTCTTCTTCTTTTCTTTCTTTCGTTCGTTCTTTATTTTCCTTCCAATTTAAAGGCCCACTGCACTACTTGTAGCTACTTGCGCCCTCTATATAACAAACAATGCCTAATCGGTGACCATTGGTCCCCCATGATCCTCTTTTACTTATGTTAACTGAGAGCTGGGTTGATGAGATAACCACCTGTCCAGTGACCTTGCGGGGCAGTCTAATCCCTCCTGTAAACTACGGCAGATAAGCTTTAAAAGACATTGAGCTTCAACGAAAATCGAATTATTTTAGTTCCTTATCTTTTGGTGGTCATAATTTTCTTTTAAAGCCCCACTGTCCTACTTGTAGCTACTTGCTCCCTCTATGTAGAAAACTTCCCCAATCGGTGCTTGTTGGTCCCCCATGGTCCTCTATTTATTATGTTATTTAAGAGCTGAGTTGATGAGATAACCACCTGTCCAGTGACCTCGCTGTGTAGTCTAATCCCTCCTAGCCACACTAGTGTTGATAAGCTTTAAGAGGTCTTGTAATAATTATAAATGGTTTTTGAATTTTCAAATTCCAATCAGAATTGCAATCATAAATATCTTGATAATCAGACAAGCGATCGGCTTGTAAAAGTCATGGGATTCCTGACTGACCTAAAGGTTTATAATTATGATTGCAGCATGGGCTTAATCCAGGATTTTGTTTAGAATCTGAGAAAAAGATACCAATCCCTTTAATATGTGGTACATATATGATATTGAAGATAATGAGGACAAAAAGGATTTCTTCGTTAATTTTCGTTTTCTCTCTCTCTCTCGTTTCATGACCAGATTTCAACTCTTTATTCTTTTTTGCAAAATAATTGTTTAATTTAGTAGCAATTACAGTGTTTTCGCGCTCCATTGACAGTCATTCAACCCAGTTTGAACTCCATTAAGGGTTGACTAGATAACGCCTGTACTTGGCTTGAACCAAATCATTAAAAACATATTTCTGTTTTTCAAAACCTCCGGGCTGATGAAACGGAAATTATATTTTCATTAACAAAACAAAAACAAAGAAATCTGCTCAGCGGGGGAGGAAAAGTGCATCAAAAATCGATAAACAGTATTAAAGCCCAATGGTATTTCAATTGTGAAAAGATTACACTTGGTGGACCTCATAAAATAGATTGACAGCAAATTACACCTGTCGAATCTGTTAAATAGTTTTGGATGTCGTGAAGGTGAGAAGAAAACAAGGGGGAAAGCCCCCGAGTGTGGGTGTTTTTGTTAGGCTGTACGAGTGGGCGATCGAAATATTTCACTAGAAATGGTGTCATTAAAATCCTCTACATCGGATGAAATTAGAGAAGCATTGAACACGTAATAATAACTTTAACATAACTTAACCTTCTCTAAATATTTCTCAGCCAAAATAAAAAAAATATATATTAACAAGTAAAGAAACATAACTACACATGTATACTAATGATTGCTTATTCAAGACAGAGAGGATAGGTATTAGCATTTTATAATTTGCTAAATGAGAACATAGCCAAGTTATTACACTGAAATAATGTCGTATTGTACATGATTCCAGGTAACTACGTCAGCCAACTTTATTAAGAGATGAGGTGTCTTTATCAAACGACAAGGATGCACATGAAAATTAATTGTATTAGAAAATACTCGTCGTTATACTTTAGTTTAGTTACCCACTCCCCATCTTATGCCCCTTTGTACCTTTACAACAATCCAGAGTTACCTTGTCTTGATAATCCCTTTTAGTAACGATAACACTTACTGATGTTTATTATTTTTTTATATAATGACCCCTTGTAATATTCACGCTTTTCCAAATATTGATATAATTTCTTTACGCTTAATTCCAGAGGTGGGAAAGAATTTAAATGTGGTAGAAATTTCCTCTAACGCGAAAAAAGATCATGGGTCCCTTTTCACAAAACTTGTCATCAGTGACAAATGACACTTTTTGTTATAAACTAGTGAAATCCTTGCTTCTGATTGGTTATCAGCAGATTTTTCACTGATCTTTGTCATTTGTCATTGAAAAAAGGCTTTGTGAAACGGGTCTCTGGACTTACTATTGTTTTTAATAATTTAAATATCTTGGAATTAGTAAATGCATTTTCGCTATGAAGTAACCTTTTTTTTTCTCGCTTCGTTTCCTTTGTTTTGCGAAGGTTGTTGATAGGTATCCTGTTTCCTTCTCTCATTCTTTCTACTCTTGTTTTGTCTTTTCATTCCAGAGCCTTTCCTACACAAACGAAATGCAGTGCACTTTCTCAGAACGACAAAACGAGAAATTGAAAGTCGGCCCTCTATGGGTGACACGGCGATTGAGGTGGCGGTGGAGCGGAGGTCAACGGGTAACCGCGGTTTTATCCACGAGTGCTGCAACAAGTTCTGCGATCCGGGGGAAATGGTGTTGTACTGCTGCGAGAAACGGCAAATAGAATGGGCGCAATTTCACAACCTGTTAAAAGCATAGCACGTGTTATATGTAGTAAACAACAACAGCAGCAGCAACATAATCACCATCACCATCAACAACAACAACAACAACATTATCAACAACAACATCAACAACGACATCAACAAATACGCCTGTTTATTAGAGTGTAGAAAAGCAGTAAATGACATACATTAATTTTGCCAGAGTAGGAAATTGATTTGAATTTAAAAGAGTCGGTAGTTGGAATTACACATGGTTAATCATTTTCTAATTTGTTATAGAGGGATATTCAGCGGTTATTAGGTCGGCTTTAGGCTTTTTAAATAACTAGATTGGTTATATGTTTCATTTAATTTACATGACACTGCCTTTTGTTATGTTCTACGACCATTCAAAGATTCGTTTAAATGTTGGATAATGAAATATATATATATATATATATATATATATATATATATATATATATATATATATATATATATATATAGTTCTACGTTCCTTTCGAGATCCGGCCATATTTTTCTTTCATGAATTATATCCTCCATTTTCTTACATGTGTCTACCCATGTTTCGGGAAATTTGAAAGAAGTACTGAACTTTCACCGCTCAAAATTCAAAATGATTCTATTCTTTTGCAAATATTCTAACATGAGTTCAATGTGTATATCTTTATACAAACTTGCTATAAAAAACACAGACTAATTGTATGTTTTGTTTTCTAAGCATTACATGAATGAAAGATTGTTATCAAATTTCGTGTTAACGTGAAAATGAATGTGCTCAACCCACCTTCGTTCACCGCGCATCTTTGTCATTAAAAAAAATATATATGAGAGTGTACATGGATATTCAAGTAAATAATTTGTAATAAGAATATGATCTACCGTATCAATTAAATGCCAGAGATACAGAGTAATTTTTGAGGGAAATTTGTTGGTTTCTTCTCATTCTTGATTGACATCAGTTAGATATCTTTTGAAACCACTAGCTGTCGTCTGTATGATGTAACCGATTTTAAAGGTATTACAAAGTTTCGGTATGGGGTCATGAATTTGGTTCAAATTAACATATTGGAAGCGTATGCGTTCCTACAATATTCATTGATCGTTGTCGCTGTTGAAATCGAGTCTAAAATTATGAAATTGTAATTAATAAATTTCTTATGTCGTATAGCTCCCTCTCAAGGTCAAGATATTAATTAAGCTATAAAACAATGTTTTTTTGACTAAAATCGACCGATTAGCTATTCCCATTTGGAAATTATATATCACAACTACATATTCTGAGATTTTCATGGTCGCAGCTACCATTGTACGGCCATAGGCGATATTTGAAATATATCAAAATTTACCGGGAGCACCGGTAAATTTTTATATTCAATTTTTCTCGAAAACAGAAGTGCTTTAGGAGCTAATTTTTTTAGTGCTTGTAATACATCCACAGGGGCATCCAAATATATCAAAATTGTAAAGATTCACTATCCCACCAATATCAAAATTTCCCAAAACTTTGTATTACCTTTAACATATGGCAATTTCCAAATAAATTCATATACTGTCTAAATTGGGAGTTTTAAAACGTATATAGGAAAAAACAAATACATCGGTTAATATTTCAAATGATGCAACAGAAATAGGAGCAAATGGATCCTTATGTAGAAGTATAACCGGAAGACGAAAAATACTCAAAGCGGATTAACATTATAAAAATCATGAACGGAACAGGACAGCATTTTCCGCAAATCACTATAGTGATTTGCGGAAAATGCTGACATTCAACGGAAATGTTAGTACGTCCAGTAAATATTATAACGACTCTAATGGATTCAGTATCCTCTATTTCCCGACCGCTGTTCATGGTAAGCAACAAAAACAAAACACCTGCCACTATCCCCAATTTGTCGTAAAGGTTAACTAGCCAATTTAGTCAGAGTTATCGTCATGGTAATACAAACATTAATGGGAGCGCTTTTAGGTTTGATAATCATTTAACAACATATCCCTTCCCCTTACATGTATATTATTCTTAAGGCTTTTAGTTGGCGACTTGGAATATTGGTAACAAACTTAATTTCATGTTTATTATTAAAGAATAAAGAGCCACAAGTTTATGGGTATGTTTAAATAGATTGGGGAGGGGGGGGGGGGGGGGTCACGATACTTAATATTCGTATATGTTGTTAATTCATCGATTTAAAACAAATGGTAAATGTAAATGCTAACATAAGATAAACAGAAAAAAAATGATCTCTAGCATTTATAAAATTGAACACGCGCTTTCTGTTTGAAAAAAAAAACTGGTTGAATATGAAAACATACCGTGTAAATATTTATGCTTTCGTTTAATGATTGCTATATTGTAAAGGCGAAGAAAATGATTATATTCTGTTTAAAGAAGCTTGTATAATTATCGTGAATGTTACGGGTATGTGAAATGCCGGCTTGTAAAGATGATCAGGCTTTGAGGTTATATTTTTGTGATTTCTTGCTTTGGATGTAAATTTATTTCAATGCATTATGAAGGACGTCGGTTGCGAAATAAAAATGTTTTATGTCAAGAAAAAGTCGCTGTCTAAATTTGTATAATTAGAGATGAGAAATGAGAGATGTGTTACTCAACTTTATTAATGGCATAGTTACAGAGAATATGGGGGCACCCCCTCCCCTCAATCGAGTTTTCAAAAACGGTAAAGCGAGAAAAGAGAGAAAGAAAGAGAGAAAATGAAAGGGTAAGAAAAGAAGACGCCTGGAACCCCTCCTTCACCCTAACACAAACCAGTAGTCTTGTTATTTCGCATTTCATTTTCCGAATAAGATCAATGCCCCCCCCCCTCCCACAAAAAAAAAATAAAAAAATCTCCAGTGCCGCCCCCTCCTCTCTCAATTGGTAGACTCACTCTCTACACCACTATGAAGATAATATCGCTCTATAGTGATCAAGCTGATCCATATTTGTAGTCGGAACTTTGGTTACTTAATGATAGCTAGAGGCAGACTGAAAAGAAAAAATACCCAAAACAATATTTTGTGGAAATCTGTACAACTTCCCGAATTCCCGAATCGTCAATAGTGTATGATGTGATATACTCCCGCTTTGTTCTGTTTAACATTTCTACTTTTGAATCATAATAATGTATACATGGGAGTCATACAAATGTATATTATGTGCATCATTTTCGAGAAAATTATATCGTTTCCATAAGAAAAATCCCCTCCTTTTTGAAGAATCATAATAACCCAAAGCGGAGCTCATCTCTTCTCTTGCATTTATGATGCAGGTGGAAAGAATTATATACCGTATCAAATTCCAATCCATGTACATTATCAGACAACCCGTAAAGGCAATGTAACATATCGCTTGGACTAGATAAGCCACTCATAGTTTTTCGAAGACATCAACGTTTTATTTTCTTGATAATTATGCCTCGAGTGATGAGCTATTAATATACGAAAATAATTCATAACACCTGGCAGTTTAATGTCTTGACATTTGTTTTTCATAATGACTCATGTATTCTTCTTTTTTTTACGTGGCATTTCGTAAAGGACCGTTCAGGTATTATTCCAAACAAACATTTAGGACACACTTACTATGTTAACTTTGTATAATTTGTCTCTGGTGTTGCAACATTTGGCATTAGTCTGCTTGCAATTAGGAGACCATTGGTGATACAAAATGATATGCTTCAGGCATAACTATGTTTCTGAAAGAATTTTCCACAAAAAAAGAATTTAAGACAAAACGTTTTAGGGTATTAACGTTTTAAGGGGGAATGGTAGCTTAAAGAGAGATTACGAGAAAAAGAGAGAAATGGATATGTGGAGAGAGAGAGAGAGAGAGAGAGAGATGGCATGCATGTATTTTGAATCAATGTGTATACTGTAAGTCAAAAGGGATGAGTCGGAAGACAAGAAAGAGTCAGAACGATTAAAAATAAAGCGAGATAACATGAAGACTGAAATGATTGGGAGGGGGTGAACAGAAAGACATAGAGCGGATAGCTAGGATGAAGAAAGAGACGCATAGAGAGGGGGTCGGATAAAAAGAAAGAACAGCGGGGGTGGTTGAATAAAGGGGGAAGAAAGAGAGAGACAGAAAGAGAAAGACAGACAGACAAGAAGAGGGAGAGAGAGGCGGGGGGGGGGGGGGGATTGCAGCTGTAGTAGAAAGTTGACGGCATTACGCCCTCTCATCGTTCTTCTCCTCCCCTCCCCTCTTCATTGTATCTCTTTATCATCTTATCCTCTTAGTTGGACACAATTTGTCTTCTCATCTATCATTTATTTTCAGCTTATGATATCACCATCTTCTACCTTTTTTTTTTCTTTCTCGATTAGCGATTACTTACATTCCTTTAGAGATCCCATCCCTCCAAGACGCCCCTACGTTATCCGCCTTTATATCACTCTCCCATTCTCTCTTCTCTTTATCACTCTCTAGTCTCTCTCTCTCTCTCTTTTTTTCTTCTCTATACTTTCTCTCCTTCTCTATACTTTCTTTCTCTATCTCTTTTATTTTCTTTTTCTCTACCACCCATTCCCGTTTTCCATTGACGTTTCACAATACACCAGTTTACGGTTGTGTGCGCCATTTTAAACAAAGCCAATGACCTAGAGGTCATGTATTTATGCGTATTAATTAAGATTGCGCCCATGCAAATTATGATAACATCACTGCCTACGCATTTGGGTGACATGAGAATAAATTGTCATTGTCATTGTCATTGTCATCACTTGCATGGGCGCAATCTTAATTTACGCATAAATACCACTGACCTCAGGTCATTGGCTTTGTTTTAAAGCCAATGACCCGAGGTCAACTGTCTGCGCATGCGCACTGATACAACCGTAAACATGAGCAACTTTTTTCAACGATTAATACAGAACCGTAATAGCAACCACTTCCTCATAAACATAATTATAGTAATGATTCATATAATTATAACCACTATAGAGTAACGTATACAAACAACACAAGGGTTTTATATAACATTCTTCTTTAGTACTTTGTGTATAATTACTATGATTGCGAGGTCAATTAAATAACATCTATGCGTCAAAAACATCAAGCTTCGTTGAATTTGGTACTTTGTAATGCCCGTCGGAAGGTAAGAATAGACGCCAGGAAGTACATCCCTAGCAACTGAGAAAACATTACATAATTAAAATACGATAGAAACACAACCAGTAAAGTAAAACAATCTATTCATAATAATTATCACAGATTTGGAAGATATAATGAAAACCTCACTCCCCTGATGGGACAACTAGTACCTAGTTTTGAATGATGATCACGAGTAATATCATAACTTTCGAAATATTACGTAAAGTAACAATTATTGTATACCCACACGAGATACATACGAGCTAATTTTGTTTAACTTTTACTCTACCCCTACCATCAAACAGAATTGGCAACAACCGTTACCAGTAGGAAACAACGAGGGTCGAGGGGGTAGGAAAGGAAAAACCATTAAGGAGCAAAGGCATTGCAAATACGATTATTATTGGTTTTACTTTTTTCTGGAAAATCCGTTGCACTTGCAATTTTTTGCAAATTTGGCCGTAGATGGGGTAATTCCAAACTTATGATCAAAACATTGTTGTTGACTGTCTCCTAATGTGGTTAACAGTGTATTGTCTATTGCCGGGCAGCCAAGGGTGGGAGTACCGTATAAGTGGTACTGTTCCTGTATATCAATACGATAACATAAGACTGCAACAAGTCCAAATTTCCGTAGTTATATTTAAACATAAAAATGATGAAATGCATGAGGCAGAAAATTATCTTAGTTACCGCGAAAAGATACGTTCCAATGAAGAAAACAAATTCATAAATATATACAGCAAAACGCATGAATGTATGGTATCGAAAGTAACTCAGCTCACAAAGAAACTTTTTGTCGAGTCCATAAAGGACAAACGATGGGTTGCAATGGTGGGGGAAAAATCCATCTAAACAAAAAATCCGTTGTTTTATTTTTTTTTAATCCTGTAAAACAATTTCCATCTAAAATTGTACCTCTTCCTAAACTGTGAGTAAAAAGCAAACGACACCAATAATTGCACAACCTATCATGGAACTCCATAAACATTGTGCTGACGAGGGCAAATATAACCCATATTTTCTGATGAATTCGTGATAAAAACAAAAACGTTGTAAAATGAACTCGAGATAACGAAAATGACAAAGTTAAAACATCCTGTAAAAGGCAAATAGTAACAAAGTGAAAATAAACTCTATAGCCTTATGAGGTTGATGTACAGTTAACAATCAAATTGTTCGTAACCCTTCTTGCTTCCTTTTTTTTCTTGTAACTCTTGTGAATACTTTTTAGATGTAAAGCTTTAAAAGTGGCTTTATCAAGAAGCATAAATCGGGACAAATCAATCGTTCACATACTTAACAAAATTACAAAACTTGGTAAGGGTATGAAGTTGTTTAGTTAAGTGTAGGTATCAAAGACTTACAGGCAAAACTGATACAAACAATATTGAACACATGGTACACAATTTGAAGGAATACACAATGAACTGTTTGAGAAGTATCTTCTTTTTGAATACGGCTGTAGACTCGACAGAAGCTTGTAATTATACTGGTGCAAACAGTGTTCTACACGAGATAGAACTTAAGGATAAAGTTGAGTTCTGGTCAGGCAATTGAATTGTGAAAGAAACATGTGGAATCGTTTAGAGAAGGTTGATCCTGTATCATATAAGTATTGATGTGTAGGTCTACTGCAAGGCTCTGGAGTCATCAAAATGATAAGAAATTTGGCCCAGTCTTGGTAAAGTTACAAGCACTGTACACAGAAAGATGTATATGGGACTACACAAACATGTGGCATAAAAAACGTCCCGCTTTGTATGATGTTACTTCCAATATTTCGAATATTAAGGCATTTGAAGAGCCATGCTTTTCAGGGAACATTATTTTATCTGATGTTCTTCCACACTTGCACAATACAAGGATAACGCTCACAAAAATTATTGTTCACCTCTTCCCAGAACTAAACCTTCTCTTTAAAAATACCTGCAAGTTCGTATAAAAGGGACACCCCTTTTAGCTTAGACCATGGACCTACCATAACAAAATATTAGTTTGATTGTCAACATTTACTAATACTGATAATAATGATGGGCAAAGTGCGACATGTTATGTCAATCACAATAAATTAGGTCAGGGGGCCAGTTTCTCGAAAACGTCCTAAGTCTAGGTTCGTGGACATCCCATTGAAACGTGCGTTAATTCTATAACGCACGTTTCAATGGGATTTCCAAGAAGTAAGACTTATTCACGGTTACGAGTAACTACCCCAGCAGGCAGCTTTTTGTGAACAACATAGATCAATTTACAATTTAAATTCCAAGCATGGAATAGTACATGTATGTTATTGTTATATAGTACATGCACGACAAAAGAGTGACAAACACGGCACTTAACAAGTATTACACTTTTCTTCCGCCTTATGAATTGTACGAACTTCGTCTATGATTTTTTTTTTTAAATGCAAAGACTTTATATTTTATACACATCAGACAACAGAGTAAACGAAACCAAAAATATATCAAACCGAATCTCCGATAATCAGTCTGTTTGGATCCAGTATGGAGTCGGTTAGCGGTGTGATCGAGGTATGGTGAGAGAAGAAGCATTCATCATGTATAATGTGTACTCGTGTATGTAAACTGGTTCAAGTATTATATTCGAGCTATGCACTGTGATACAAACACAAAATTGACAACAGTAATACCGAGTTGAATGCAATACCTCAGTCATGACGTCACACCGAATCCAAACGGACCAATTCTGGGCCATTCAGTGAAATGTGACTTTAATCGGCCTGTTGTCAGTCTACTCTTGTGGGTGGTATCCTTAGACGGTATGGAACAACAAGTATAGTTACTGGAGTATATCTATTTCACGATGGCCCATTTTTTTGTAAGCAGGCACCCTTTAAGTACTTTATAATCAGCAGTACCGACAAGATATGCGAATATTTTTAATCAGAAAAGGTCTTCTAAATCAGGATTGTTTTGTCTCTGCATCACTTGTTGTTGCCGTTGTCTCTGAATGTTTTCAAGCATCGACTCCTGTTCTTGAATCCTTTGCTTTAGAAGACGCATTTTCTCGGCTCGCGACAAATACTCTGAATCGGAAATCTTCGGGAGCTCGCCAGTCCCATCGGCTGGCCTCGCATCGGCAAGAAGTCCTGTCGGTTTGTCACTCGGATGGCAAGATTCATCATCGGTATCTTCCGGATCAGTTGGAATGTCTGTTGAATCAGAGTCAGTATCCGGTTCGGGTTTGATCGTCTTGTTTTCGGCAAGATTCGGACTGGGTTCGGCAGGGTTCATTGGCTCGTCGTCATCGGACAGCGGTTCCGATTTGATGCGTATTTTTAACACCTTCTTAGGAGTGCGAGTATCTTGTTGGCCATCTTCCTCCTTTATACATTCAACCGTAGTGTTACCCGATAACCTGACCAAGTGCGGAAGTTCGATGTCTTTCTTCAACACGACCACTGCACTAGCAGACGGTTTAGGTGACGGCTGTTGAGAGGAGCAGATGATCTCTGCAGATGAAACGTCGAAGTCCGAAGATGATGGTGAAGATGTACATTTCCGTCTCTTCTGAGGCGGCGGAGAATATGGCCTTGTGACTTTCCTCTCGCGCCGACTCCTCCGTGGGCTGGGTGAGTTGACCCCAATATTCTCTGTGGATTCGCATGTACCCTCCTGTCCGTCACATGGTTCAGAACTCCGCGAAACCTGTTTAGCTATAGTCTCATTATGGTCTCTGGCAATATTAGCTATAGTCTTATCATGGTCTCTGGCAATTTCCGTGGGATTGTTCTCAAGTTGGTTGATTGCCGTGGTTGATTTTTGAGTGTATACAAACGACCCATCGTGCTGGGATACTATGTTCTTACCACTATTAGGGGATTCATTAGCTCCTAATATTACTATTTTCTTAGGATCTGTCCTGACATTTCTTTCAACATGTTCTGGTGAAGATTTAGTTCTCGTTCTCACTATTTTCACTTTGGCGCCAGATGGCAGAACTTCGGTTCTGACATCGACCACTTCTTTGGTAGCCGACAAATCTCCTAGGACGGAATTATCTGTATAAGCACCTATACTAAGATTAGAATTGCAATGTATCAACGGGGTCTGACCTGATAAGGCTTTTGAGACTAGAACAGGGATTCCTCCGGGCACTTGCAATATTTTCCGCTGACCATCGGGGCCAAGGACAACATAACGGACTAGATTCGTCCTTTTGGGTAGCAACAAAGGCGCAGATGTTCTTGGTAATCTTGGTAAACCAACAAAAGAGACGCACGGTCCCACTAAGGTACCATCTGTCTTATCGGAAGTATTCATCACGAACGGTAACATTGATGATGGTGAGGACTGAGAGGGCGCCCGAAAACGTAACATACCGTCTTGATCACCTACGACAGCAGAGGTTTTATCACCTAACTTTAAAGGTGGTGCCATAGCTATATCGAGATCTGTTACACTCTTGCGTTTTGTCTCTGTTGCCGCACGTGACTTAGATCTTGTGATGCGAGTTTCTCCTTCCCCAGCGTTGGAGGCAACTTTCGCGGCAAGAGGTTTATAACAGCCAGCAGTCACTGTTTTCGTTTTCTCAAGAGTAGAGTTTTGTGTCTGTTGGGTTGAAGCTGTTTGATCGGTAGATGGTGGTGCGTGTGTCAACCTTGATGGAATAACCGTTCCTAGCGAATCAATCACAGTGTTTCCAGCTGTCGGATTATTTGTATCCATCCTTGCTTTAATGATACCTTCGATCGCATGGTCTGTAGGACGGGCACTGCTTATCGGTGCTGATAGCGGGACAGCTGGGTCTTCATCGGGTTGACCCAATTTTAGAATGGAAAGTGCCTTGAAGACATTCGACGTAGTGGCTGGCAAACTTTGAGCTTCATCTGCGATGTTTCCGACGCTCACTGGCGTAGGATATTTAACGGTGATCACTTCTGGGGTAAATGACGCGCACTTTGCAGGAATGCTAAACTCTGAAGGCTTGTCATCTTTCGCTGCTGATTCCTCAGATACGTTGGCAGTATCGGAGGGATCCAGTTTCAATGGCGGTTTATTCATTTGTGAATCGATCAAGGAAGGAGTCGCGCAACTTGCGGGAGCAGACTTTTTCACCTTCGATACGTTGCCAGTATTGGAGGGATCCAGTTTCAAAGGCGGTTTATTCATTTGTAAATCGATCAAGGAAGGAGTCGCGCAACTTGCGGGAGCAGACTTCTTCACCTTCGAGACGTTGCCAGTATTGGAGGGATCCAGTTTCAATGGCGGTTTATTCATTTGTGAATCGATCAAGGAAGGAGTCGCGCAACTTGCGGGAGCAGACTTTTTCACCTTCGATACGTTGCCAGTATTGGAGGGATCAAGTTTCAATGGCGGTTTATTCATCTGTGAATCGATCAAGGAAGGAGTCGCGCAACTTGCGGGAGCAGACTTTTTCACCTTCGATACGTTGCCAGTATTGGAGGGATCAAGTTTCAATGGCGGTTTATTCATCTGTGAATCGATCAAGGAAGGAGTCGCGCAACTTGCAGGAGCAGGCTTGTTCACCTTCGATAAAGGCCGCAAAATAGAAATCCCTTCTTGAGCAGGTGTTTGTGGTACACCCAGTCGAAAGAGGACCTTCTTCTTGTCCGAATCATTCAACCTCTTTGTTACATCATTAATGACCTGCTTTGGACCCTGCAGCACCATATTCTTGATACCCTTCTCTTTCATCATAAGCTTCAGGTCTTTAACATACTCGTCCACTGACGTATAACGTTTCTTCCGACCTTCTTCATCGCCTGAAAACAGACCGGAAGTCTTACTATCATCGGCTTTGCCCGCTTTGGATCCCGCCTGGACTTTGAATAGGTACGTTTTCTGGTTACTTGTTTCTGGAAGTGATTCAGACGTCGTTGTCTTTAACTCAGAGTTCTTACGAATAACATCATTAATCCTTGTTGTATCAAGTCCTTTACAGTCCACAGATTCTCCTGCGAGTCCTTCACGTCCTACGCTACTTTCTGCACGGGTTATGCTAGAGGCGCTGGATGGGGTAGACACATTTGTCAATAAAATGCCATCCTTGGGATAAATCCCCTTCACATCCACTTTTAAAGGTACAGTCCTCGGTTTAATAGAACATTGAGAAGCGCTCGATGTGATAGATGTGGTAGATGGGGTTGAACACCGTGTGGGTTCACTGCGAGAAGAAGTACACATCTGACTAGTTGGCATGGGGGGAATGAGATTCGGGTTTGTCGTGAGTTCTTCTTCACCAGGCTTCTGTGTCTCAGATTCACAAGCCATTTCTTTAGGTGTTGAAACCTTTGTCTGCCGCAATCTATTACTTCGATCCTTGACATCAAATGCGAAAGCCACTTTACCACCCGTTTTCCTTCTTCGCGCTTTTTTAACCCCTCTTGTGGGAAGCGCAGAAACTGGCAATACTGCTCTTTTTGACTCAGGGAAGGACAGTAGTTCGTCTAACATAGAAGACCCGCGTGTCTCCTTTCGTCCCAACTTCATGGTGCAGTATTGTTTGCTTTCGATCGAATCATCGATTCCCTCTTTGACCTTTGCCTCGTGACCTTGCTTACCAACCAGTGTTTTGATTTGTTGCGTTTGTGACGTGGTTTCGCGCTTGCTAAATTTATCTCCATAAAACATAACTTCACCTTTTCCTTCCTCGGCATTAGCGGTTTCATCGGCACTAGCAGTTTTATCGGAATCCTCGCCACTAGCAGTTACCTCGACTCTGTCCTGACAACTATTAACAGCAAAACTTTGATTTTGAACAACACTGGCCTTACCGACGGAAGTTGGTGCACTTCTCTGAGTGGATGAATAGACGTCTGTATAAGGCGTTGACTCTGTCCCGTTCGCTATCTCATCTGCGCTGTTAAGACCCAGAAACTCTTCTGCGCAGTCATCAGCTGTCGACAGGAAACTTTCATCATAGTGGAACTCCGAATCGTTATCGACATCATCAAAGTTTTCGTGCTCGACGTCGGAGAGCTTTCGCAGAGCGGGAACCTCCTCGTCAGAGTCTTCTATCCATCCGTCATCACTACCTGGTTTATCCGTGATCACAAACCGGTCATCGTCGAGATCAACAGCGGGTTGATCAGCAACCACCTGCAAAGTAGGGTTCTTTTGATCGGACTCTAGACTAGTGGTGATTATCTGAGACTCCATGATGACTTACTTCTGCATGCAATCTTGCTTGGACGGTACCGAGAAAAGGTGGAAGATCGGGCGTACGGGAGCGCTGTAAAGAAGCATACATCTCCGAAGCTGTAAATCATAGCGATGAAATATGCCTGATGTCATGTGTGGCCGGTCGCACTTCGCCTGAAGAGAAAACAAAGCGAGAAAAAAAAATATCAAAATTTGGGACAATATCTTAAACTCTGAAAAGAAAAGGCAGCTTCGTTCTATAGTTTTATGAAGATTAATGTTAGACAAAGAAAGAAAAAGCAAGTAAATAACAATACAATAATACCAAGTTCCATTTCTGAACAAAATTGTCTGTCGGTCCAGAAAGGTAATAATATTGAAGTGAAACGCAATGTCTTAAAGTACGGTTAACTTAATATTGTCCGATTACTCAGAAATACATGTTCATAATATTTACTTTAAACTGGCTGGATTGGCAAAACAATGAAAACATACACACAGACAAAAAGAAATTGACTGTTTTCTCTAATTTCTTTATTAATTCACATGCAGTAGGTCTATATAAGTTACAGCAATGAAGTAATGTTCAAGTGCATTTCTTTTCCAGAAAGAAAATCTTTTTTTTTACAAAATCAAAGAATGAATAAACAAAAAGGGGCATTTTTAATAGCATCGATTAACATCCAAGCAGGATACAATTGCAACAAGGAAAAAAAATATATATATGTATATGGCAACATCCCTTGTTTGCACAATTGGACTCATCGTGATGTGATGTTGCTATACAGTGCGTCCCAGAAAAAACGAAACCGAGAAGTATCGATGTTCTATCATAACTTAATCACAACTATATTTAATGAATGATACATATTTGGAAAGCTTAGAGTCTCCTCTTTCATGTGATGCTACTCAGATAATGCATATTTCACGCATGAGTGATTAAAAGCAATTTGAAGGAAGGAAACCAAAAAGACATTTGGCGGGCGGTATCTGAATTTCGAAGAAAAATTCACATTTCAAGAAAGTTGAGTTTCTGCCCTTTCATATGACACCTCAATCAGGAAAAATGAGCGAGGAATGACAAAGTTCTGTTTGTTTAAAGTAGTGCTTGCATTTCCATAATTTTATTAAACGAATTCGTTTTCACTGGCTGCCTGCCGTATCAATAAACGAAATTAACAAAAGACTTAACTCCGTTTCGTTGACAATCAGCCGTAGACGAGAGTCTTCATGCATGGCTGATTGTCAACGAAACGGAGTTAAGTCTTTTGTCAAATCTGCTTTTTGCTACGGCAGGCACCCAGTGAAAACGAATTCGTTTGTTAAAATTATGAAAATGTAAGGGCTACTTTAAGCAAACAGAACTTTGTTATTCCTCGCTCATTTTTCTTGATCGAGGTATCATATGAAAGAGCAGAAAATGAACTTTCTAGAAATGTGAATTTTTCTTTGAAATTCAGATACCGCCGTCCAAATTACTTTCTGATTTCCTTCCTTCAAATTGCTCTTAATCACTCATGCGTAAAATATGCATCACGTGAGTAACATCAACTGAAAGAGGAGACTCTAAGCTTTCCAAATATGTACATTCATTAATTATGGTTGTGATTAAGTTATGATAAAACATCGATACTTCTCGGTTTCGTTTTTTCTGGGACGCACTGTAGAAACATATTGATCTGCTCGAAGTTTGTTGCGCTATTGTTCTCTGAAATAAAAGCGTGCGGCATGTCCTAAGACTTAAGATTCATCTTCTACGTTCCCCCCCCCCCCCCCTCTTCTATCCCTTTTCTTCGCCACGTCTCGTGACGATTTCAGTGTCATGTGCAGAGCTGTAGTCAGTACTTGGTATCTGTTTCACTATTAAAGCGGGACTGCACTAGTACCTGTAGCTACGTACGCCCTCTATATAGAATGGATATACACTTTACGCTTTGACAAATCCATAATTATTTGCAGTACACATATTTAGGTAGCTTATAGATATCTAATTGTATCTCATGTAAAATGATGTTTGCACTAGAATAAGTAGGCGTACATACTTCTGTCGAGTCTACAGCCGTACAGAAATATATTGCATCCAAGTTTATGACATGTATTGAATATTGTTTGTATCAGTTTTGCTTTGACGTTTTAGACACCTACAGTTAACAAACTAAAATATTCATACCCTTACTAATTATGTTTTCTTGAACCCCACTGTACAACTTGTAGCTATTTGCTACCTCCCCCATGGTCCTTTTTATCTTATGTTAATTGAAAGCCGATTTGATGAGAAAACCACCTGTCAGTGACCATGCATGGAAGTCTCTCCTGGCCAAACTAGTACAGACAGGCTTTAATATTTTATTATTTACATATTCAGATTACATTTAAAATTAAACTATATTTACATGACCATTTGATTAATACATTTGACCGATTTGTTCCTATCATCTTCTTTCATTAAATTCTATTAGAGAAATGTGAATTAATCGGATCGCTCACTACGCGGTTGGCTTAAGTACTAATTAGAATATGATGACGACAAACAACCTAAATTAATAATAAGTAGAACACATACATCACCTGATGCGTGCTCACGCACTGTCGAAGATAAGGAAGATGTCTAGATGCAGTGCTTATAAGAGATCCTAAAAGAAAGAATAGTATTTTACCATGATTAGGTTTCTTTCGCATATTTATTTACAAAAGTAGTCAAGCAAATAAGAAAAAAAAAATTTTTTTTAGTAACCACCTTAGTTCCAATTCCAAGGTTATCACTTGTTAAATTGGACATAAGAAACCTTTGATGTATAGACATCATAATATTTATTTTCTAAGATGAAGTTTATAGAGTTTTTTTTGGGGGGGGGGTGGGGGTGGTGCACGAAAGAACCCCCTCCCCCTCCCTTATCTGCCGAAGGCACTGCACACGTCTTAATCAGTAGGCTACTTGTGTAACTTGGGTTTTGTATAATATCTAAGGCGGAAAATAACTTCACAGCTTTCTTTTCCAGTTTTACTCACGTACGGGTTGATACGCAATTACTCAAATTTGTACTATAATCAGAATAACTTATAGTTTCTTTGACAAGACACATTTTCAAGAGCGTGGTCAGTACTATCATCTTCAATTCACATATCTTCGTATTAAATGAAAGTCACCTCTTAGCTTGAAGATTAGCTGAACGCAGGACGGCGTGTGAATCTTCCGTGTGGTACTACGTCTAGTAGCATGTTCTGAAACATGAGAGCAAAAAGAGAGAGTTATTTAAATGGCAATCCAGTAATTTCATTTGTATGAATGCGGACAACTAAGAGAAAACAGAATGGTGAGATTTTAAAACAAATAACCAAAAGTAAGATTGTTATAAGTGTTTGAAATATGTGATCGCTAAATCTATGCGAATCGCAAATTGGCAATTTGGTCGCTGGATCGTAACGTATTCATGGGCAACTCTCCCAATTTCCGTGTTAAAAAAAATATCATAATTTCTCCCCTTGGGCACTAATCAAAATATGTTGTGGCCGGCATTGTCATTAAATATTCTCTTAATAGATAACAAAGACATCCAGATTCATACATATTTGAAGAAGAAAAAAAAAACTTTATTGGAACAAATAAGACGTCCGGCGGACACTGCCGATTCCCATAATGTCCATGATTACAAAAACTATAGTGGTGAGCCTTCATAACATTCATAACTTTATCAGAGTCCGATTTGGATCAAACTTTCACCAGTCTTGTCATGTCATTTTTCAGCTTCCTTTTAGAACAGTTTATTGTTAAGTTTTGATTTCCCTTTAAAAAAACTAAACACTTCTTGGCATGTCTCTATTTATTTTTTTCTTCACAAAATAAATAACATCTATAATTGTTTTCAGTTTGGCATCAAAGGGTGAAACTGACATTAATAGCCCGCTGTTTGTGGGCGGGCCTGGAAAAACAAATAGTGTCCCCTTTTCATGAACGCCAATACCATATGTCGGCTTCAGTATTACAAGAAGTACAAAATATCATGTAGGTCTACAGCTATACAAATGGGAGAGTTACATGTCCCATCGGTTACACTGGAATTGCCCGTCAAGTCGCGGTCAGTTCGGACGTAGTTCTTGGTCTTCATATAGACCGTTTGGTTTGCTAGACCATTTGCTGGCCTGGTTAATGCGACGCACCGAATTGATAAAATCATGGACCGAACAAAGCTTGAATTGTAATTGCACTCGGGGTGTTTGAGTAAAATTAATCCTACTAGTAGATATGGTTGAAATATTACATGATATTATATAGTTTCTATTTAAAAAAACATTTACCGATCTGAAAAATGAAGAAACAACTCTAAAAATCCTGGATACCTAGCAGAATCTACGTATGACTGAAATCACTGACTAAGCTACAAGGGAAGGTACTATGGTATCGTCGAGAGAACAGATGGAATTACGACAAACGTCGCATTATATGAAAGGGATAGTTGAGTTCTGTTTTCAGACCGCAAATGCCTTAAAAGTGCATGGTTATTGCTCTTATTCTTATCTATGACATTTATAATGCCCTATTAGAAGCTAAAATTGCTATGAAGGTCATTTTAGACCCCAAAATGTGTGAAATTCAGTCAATACGATCATACCAATTCAGCTCCACTTAAAAAAAAACATGGTGACCTTTAATTAATTATTTAATTAAAAATAACAATACACAAGCCGGCTAATCGTGGGGAATATAAGCAACACGAAAATGCCAACAAAAAAGCCAACATCGGCATTGGCTCAAATACGACGTAAAAGGCGTTATTCGTGTTTTTTTTTTTCAACGGTTTTTTTCAAATTTTTCAAAATATCTAATACTTGTGGTGGTACACAAGTATTAGAAATCGTAATATTTCAGCCGTCTCTGAACCGATTTTGATCAAACAAAGATGATTTTGTCATTTAAATATTATGTTCTTTCGAATTTGACACTCAGTTTTTCCTTATCTCACAATACAATTTTTTGTGTAGCGCCCTCTGCAACAGAACTCAACTATCCCTTATATGAAGTTGAGGTTGTTGATGATAATATTTATTCTGGGACTGATATTAATTATAATCTTTATTTAAATGAAGATATGAAGAAGCAACTAACCAATCTAGAATAGCAATGTGTAATCTTGATATTAAAACAAAAAGAAACGAAAAAGAAAATGCTTGCCAAATGTGCCATTGGATGTGCAATGGTATTGGTAGGCCTATACCCATTGCATTTAGCTTCGGGGTTGTTTCGAAATGTTTCAAGATAAATTTCTGAATGCTTGCTATATGCTTGAATCGTGCAACAAATTATACACTTATGGTTAAGAAAAGGGGGTGTATTTGACTTTTCACCCGGAGATTTCTTTAAAAAAGGGTTTTTTTTTTTTTTCTTCTCATCTCTTTGGACTCCTGAGAAATTATTCCCAATTTAGGGGGGTCTCCAAAGCAAGAAAATCCCGCGAAAGGGGGGTTCGGAAATGTTGGCAGTCCTCAGATAGGGGGTGCTTTCAAAAAGAGGGAACAAGCATACGCGTACCCTAAATAACACTGAGTGGGGGGGGGGGTTCTAAATCAGTGTTATTTTTTAAATGCCGTTGGAATTTAACATTTTCATTTTTGTTCTGGCATGCAAATTTGTCAGTCTACCTTTAGGTGATAAATATTTCACAAGAATGTGGAATGTCAAACTGTCTAACAGATCAAACTATTAGTTGTGTTAATTCATCAGTTGGCCTTAGACTGGGTGATATAGCCCCCCCCCCCCCCCCCCCCAAAGGGGAATGAGGAGGTTTATGTAAATCGCTCAATTATAGAACATTCAAGAGAAAATGTGCTTTTGAGAATTATGGTTGGAGCTAAGGGGGGGGGGGGGTACAGTTAGGTGTCCGGACACTTACCATGCACATAAAGCCTTCTCTTTCGCTCCAGATTGAACGAAAAATAATCATTGAACAGCGCTCACCATCACGAGTATCCGTTACGATATTGTCAACATAACCCTTAGAACTTCTTTTAGAAGACTTTTGAAATATTGCTTGCAAACTTCTTTAACTTCTTATTTATTTATTTAATATTTGATTGAACATTTCATCAGAATAACAAGATAATCCTGGTCCTGAATATTTAACGTTTACCCTCAAACATAAAAATAAATTGATCATAATACATAGGACTATAGATTCAGAATTGTTAAAATACTCATGAAGTCATGATACAAATATTTAGCGACCCATTCGATTGTCATTGATTTCAATTATATTTTGTTCGCTCGTGGGTACCATAGCAATAGTGTTAATAGTTTGGTCGATAATTTCAGTCGTTCGTATTTCGAGCAAACGTAACTCGACGGGTCTATTGAATAGGTTGTACAGCGCACACCGTACAGGGGGCGTCGTCATAACTCCCACAACTGGACAACACACACTATAGATTCTACTCACAGTTACACAAGCACACACTTAAACAAAGACACATACACACACTTCCCCTGTGTAAAATGAATCTAGGCGCTGACCTTGTACCTGTACCTGGCCGGAGAATTGCGCAAGCGTTTATTATGCTGAGAAGTATTGTTCTTTTCATGTACACACACGTACGTAGGCTGTATGCTGGAGGGTGTGTATCCGGACACTCACCAAAATAAAGCCGTCACTTTTGCATGCATATAGCACTGGCCGTGATAAAGAAATGCACTTGATAATGTTGTCTAACATATGAGACTGTTACGTTGACTCGTTCAACCTACTGTTTGAAATGAACTGCCATATTAACAACCTGTCTGTAGATATCAAGTCTATAGTATATACACTCACATATGCACACAAAATATGCAGCCATAATCAGATATATCTGCATGCGCAGGCTCGTTGAATTGTCTCACAGAAGCACTTCTTATATAATAAAGAATATCCACTGCGATCAGGAACAAAAAATAAACAAATAATTGATTATAGATTCTAAATCTTACTTACAATGAGACTGCCAATGACAAAGCAGAATCCATATTGGTATTACGTCATTCTGTGCTCAGTTCCACGACATTGATCTCAATTCTTCATTACAAAACAAGCAGTAGATCTACGCATAATACGTACGTACACGCACCTTGTTATCGCGATCACACGTTGAAGATGATGTTTACATTACATGAGGCTCGTTCGCTACTATTCACCGTACTGTATCTTCTCTGTTCTCTTTGCCTGCGCTTAAACTTGTGTGCGCATTTAATAAGCGTATTACTAATATACAAATGCGCTTAATCTTCATTTACATATGCGCATGGAAAATAAAAATGACAACATAATTGGTATTGTGCAAAATTGTGAATGCAGTGCATGCAGGGTTTCTTTTGGATTGGTGCCGCCGTTTGCGGCGAGTTCATGGTGCGCACTATCTGAAGAAACCGAGCATACACTGCATTTATACATTACGCACAACAGGGTCAAGTGCGTTTAATATTTGTTTTATAAATATCGACGCATGAAACGAAAGTCTAACTTTAGAGTCTATAGGTTATGTTGGTTCTAGAAAATGAAAAGATAAGACCTTGCTTCTTGCTCAGCTCTACACGTACCCTGCGCTTGATATGGATCTTTAGCGTGCAATATCACTTTTGACAGCGCTTTTTTTTTTTGGCACGATCGTGTCATGTGACCCGTTTTGCCCAATCACGATGCTTAAAATACTAGAGCTATTTGATATAAGACAAAAGATAAATATAAAGAAAATATTGAACTCATGACATTTTATGTGCCCATACTTAAATTAATGAAAACGAAACATTATTTTTGACATTTAAAACAAAAAGATTAAATGTGTTTGGACATAATCGGAGTTAAAAAGCTGATCAATTTTCAGTGCATGTATTCGGTCTTACAATATTTATTAAGGAACGATTTTCTGTCTGAACGAAAAGCATGCACGCATGCAGGTAATGAACCTCATCCTCAAGTCATTTCAAATTGCGTCGAGCGTATTTAAATTCATTTTCCTAGGGAGTATTCGCCGGATATCTACCAGAAAAAATCGGCAGGTGAAAACGACTTCAAAATTTTCCAATCTCATTTAATGACATCGATTAAGTATCTTTCTAAATATAAAGAATGTTTTAAGTTTCGATAGTTATCTCACACAATGTGATTGATCGTACATACAAGTAGACCAATACTTAACATGAAAATCTTTCAATCGACGTTCCACCGTTTTGTTTTTGACACAATCACAACTACTATTGTATTTTCAAATATTTCCCGTAAATTAGACATTCCCAAATGTCAAGAGTCAGCTTGATTTTTTTTTAAACCAAGGTGCCTGATGTATATTCTGCTCAAAGGTTAATTTTAAGATAATGTACACCTCACCAGAAAATGTATCTTTTCTACTAAGTTGTACCATCCTACACCAGGAGTCCATCATTCTGCTGTCGATATATTTCTCAAGTTTAAGCCTCCCCAATTCACAAAAAACATACAATTTGCAGTTGGCTTGCTCACAAAAGGGCTTGTAAACAAAATTTCACGAGGAAACTCTCAAGATCATGTAGCACTTCAAATTTCCATATCTCACTTCCATAGAGCAGAATAGGCAACACAAGCTGATCGAATAGTTTTAAGAGGAAATCAATAGGTAATTGCAATTGGTAGGTTTCAGATAATAGACTATACATTGCTCTTCTAGCTTGATTGAGCTGTGCTTAACATGTGTAGGTCAATCGATATTCTAACTTCGACCGAGATTATCATAAACCATAGGCCTATTATTATTATTATAACTAAACGTATTATCATCATGACTATTATTTATTTTGTTATTATCATTATTATTATTAGTAGTCCTAGTCCTGTTATTAAAGGAAAAGTTCACCCTGATATTTAGTGCGTTTTTAATAAAACTGAGGTGAGAAATAAAAGAAAGATTTTAGGAAAAGTCTCCTTAAAATCCTATTAAAAATATTCAGGTTATAATTGTTTGCAACGTTGTGACTAAGTGCAACACGGCCTTACTACAGCGTAACACGGTGATTAAAGTACAAGTCCACTCCAAAAATAAATTACTTTTAATAGAAGCAGGAAAATCAGACAAACCCATCAAAAAAAGTTTGAGCAAAATCGGAAAACTAATAAAAAAAAGTTATGAACTTTTGAAAAAATCTGTAAAACTATGTAACAATGAAAATCATAAGACAGATTGGAAATTCACTCATGAGTCTGTGACGTCATGTCCTCACTATCCACTAATTGTTATGTTTATATTGATAATGTACATTTCCTATTTCCTCCCTAAGAATTTTATTTCTTCACACCAGCATCCAAGTTAGATTGATAATAATATGTTTTTGTGTAGATCCAGTGTGAGTCCAAAAAAAGTTTACACCTAGAAAATTGCTAATTATTTTTAAAATCATCTATGAACAGTAAATTATTATACATATAATGAAAGAGTGTTTTTATCCCAAATCGTTTCGTACCATTTTTGTGTGGTATGTGTTCACGCTTGGATGAACAGGAGGCATTGTTTGCGAGAGTGCAAAAATCGACTTGCGCCAAAGTGATGCCTACAGCATGTACAGTATTATGTTGGGAATAGCGGAGTGAGAGAATGAATTGAATGTATCAATTGAAATGCATTGCACATGTTTTTTGCAAAGGGCAAAGTCCCACCCACCCACACACACACGCGTACAAATGTTCGTTGATGTTTGATATTCGATATGTGATATGTGTGGCATGATTAATTTTGTTAGGGATGTTATTTGGATCTGCAAAGACCGAATTAATACCCAAATCCAAATTGTTTTATTCAAACGTCACATAGGCAACTTAGCCGCAAGTCAATTTTTGCACTCTCGCAAACAATGTCTCCTGTTCATCCAAGCGTGAACACATACCACAAAAATGGTACCAAATGATTTGGGATAAAACACTCTTTCATAAGACATATAACAATTAAATGTTAATCGATGAGTTTTTAAATAATTAACAATTTTCTAGGTGTAAACTTTTTCTTTACTCACACTGTAGAGTACTTTTTCAGTTAAATCATGAAAAATGTGACTTTTGATAAACTATTTAGATTTAAAAAAAAAAAAAATGAATATACAATATTCAGAAAATATTATCAATTCTTCAAAGTTCATAAAAGGTATTGTGCAATGTCATGCATGCAAAATAATACAAATCATATAACCTGGGCAAAACATGGGAAAATCAAGTATTGGAGGATAAAAAGATAAATTAATAGGATTAAACTATATAAAGCAATTGATAAATAGTGAGGACATGACGTAACAAACTGATAACCAAATCGGTAATTTGTGTACTGATTTCCATTGTTCTATGGTTTGGAGTGGACTTGACCTTTAAGCTCTTGTAAAATAGTCGCTCCGTGTGTTGGCACATTACATTTAGCTGCACACAACAACAACAACAGTCGAAAAGAATACAGAGTGAGAGACAATATACTGTCACCAAGTCAGCGTTGAGGGTGTGTTATTTTCTCAGCTGATTGGGCGCGCGACACGGAAACGGTCCAGGCTGTGGACTTTGTGGTAGATTTATGCTTCAGTGCATGTTGTTACTTTACCGTGGCATTCACCTCATTTTTGTATGTATTCATAATATCTGCCTAAAGGTGTAATTTTACGTACGTAAACGAATTGTTGCACTAATCCCTCATTTGCATAATTATAAAGAATAAGAAATTATGTTGCCCAAGCTTTAGGGCTAACTACTGATCACATTGTTTTGAAACTGTGTGTGTAAGTTTTATGGATTTATATAAACCAATATATGGGAGCATTTTTTTTTATCCACTTTTTTAATTTTTTTAGGAACTTATATTCGACCAATCGCATGCGATATAGCCTAATTATGTATTCCTACATCAATAATTTCATTGTTAAAAAGGTTTCCTAAAACTGTTCCCATAAACTTGTAGCAGACATATCACTGATATTACACAACAGATTTGAGCATTCTGCATTTTTCCCTTCATCCTAAATATTTGGCAACAATGTCACCATTTCACTCAAAAACACCATTCTGAGAAAACAAAGAAAATAAAAAGAAATACACTTTGCACACAGTCATCCGTCAACGACACACCTGTACGGCATAATAAACAGACTAAGAAGGTGATATAATTATACACTATATACATGTTATATTGACAAATATAAAAGTTACATGCTTTTCAATGCAAAAATTGGATCAAAATTATTTAACATTTGGCTGTCCACACACGTCTTATTCAGAGAAAGCTTCCTCTCTGAAGCTGATATTTCTTCTGGCATCATTCATTTTGTTCTTCTGTAATTATTATACCTTGATTGGTACACCTTTGAATACCTACCTCTTCTTCACATATTTTGGAGTTTTTGCGAGGCATTTTTAGTGAGTTGGAACTAGGGTTGACACTCTGACAATAGGGACTTTTAGATTTGCACAACGACAACGTGGATTGCTACGATCGACGTCCTTTTAATGCACTGCCTTGAATGGACGTCACACGTATCAGTCCACGCAAATCTAAAAGTCCCTAATATCACTTTGGAGACGACGGGCTTCTACAGAAGCCGGGATATATCCCTAATATGTTGACAAAGTTTTCCAGCTTATTATTAGCTATTATGTGCTAGAGTTCTTTGAATTATTATTTAGATATATTCATTCATCTCATCTATTAAAAAAATAATATACGTAGAAAAAAATCGAGAAAAGGTGATATCATTTCAACTTTACTCTAAGTTAGTGTTCGGATCGAAAAAAAGGCCCCGAAATACCCGTACAGCTGGAGACGGACGCGTACGCGCGCGTCCGTTCTATATTCTTGCCAGGATTCTTGCTTGACGCTACTTCCAAGTTCCATGCACCCTTCTGCATTTCAGATATTCGTATTACGGGTCCGTATTATCAGTTCGATTTCGACCCTGATTACTTATTTGTATTTATCTACCCTACCGGTGTGGCATTTTGTTCATCATATACTAATCTAAGCCTTATCGATGTAGGGTATTTACATGACAATACGCTGTTCATTTTATAAACTTGACCAATTTAGCGAATCATTCATGTATGGACCTCTTTTATGAAAGCCTTATCCCCCACCCTGAGAGGAACAAAAGATTGTAAAGAAGTAACTACTCTGGAAGTTTACCGTTTTGAAAGAAGAGGATGTGAGCCTAAACGTAGGTCAATAGGTCAATCTACATGACAATACAAACAACCACTCTAACTACCTTTACGA